GCACTCTTCGTATGCCTCAGCAACATCTTGGGCTTCGGTATTCCGCATGGGTTTACACATGACGTATCCTGAGAATTGATCTTGGAACAGCAACAAGTAGGTATTTCCACGATCGGACTCAGGTAGCTCAGTGACAAAATCCATAGAGACCACCTCGAACGGATATCTCGGTTCGATATTGCCAGGTGACGGACCGAGAACCGGTGGTCGCCCCTTGGCTGACGACACTCTCTCACGAATTTCTGTACGTCAGCGCACATCCCAATCCAGTAGAACTCTGAACGTAATCGCTCAAACGTCCTGTTGATTCCTTGGTGACCGCCTTGAACGTCTTCGTGCGAGTAGTGTAACATGTCGGTACGTAAAGCCTCTGGGACTACCAACCTGAGTTCCGACTATTTATTGCGAGGTCTCTGGGTGTACTCAGTATGTAGAGGACTTCTCGCGAATCCAACACAAACTGATCGGAGACCTTCGCAATCTTCTTGACCTGGTTCCGTGGAAGATCTGACACGTCTCCTTTTAGGACCTTCTTCATTTGCTGAATCCACAAGTCTTCGTCTAGGCGAACTTTAATTCTCTTCCAACGTTCATCTTGGTATCCAGACTGGTCTACAGGGGTCCGAGAACCTACGCCCGTTTCTATTCGTGACCTCGTCATCACCATCAATGCTTCAGCAGCAGTAGCTAAGGACTCTGGTATTCCGACATCAGGACTATCCGCTCCGAGTCTGACTTGGTCCGAACGAACTGCGTCAGTCGCAGCGGTACTTGGAAGCTTTGAAGGCTTCATGATCTTTTCAGGGATCCTGGATACGAGACGTAGATGCACTATCTCATCAGGATCATCGATCTCCCAGGATTCTCCAAGCACGAGAGTCTTAGAAGTTAGGTAGTCAGCCGCTTGGTTAAACTCACGGAATCAATTTAACCGACACAAAATTCTTCCTGAGATCTTCATACTCAGCTAAACGTCGTTGCAGGTTGGGCTGGTTACAATTAATCAGGTCCTGAGCCTGCTGGACGACGATTCGAGAATCACCGACTGCCACAAGCTC